GGCCCGCAGGGGTGGGTGCTTGCCGAGCTGGTCCCTGTGCGAGGACTTGCGTTCGTGCATGCGAGCGAGCGCATACTCGTACGCACTTACATGCCCTGTACGCGGCGAGCCGGCACGCTGTGAGCGTCCGTGCGTCCTGTTCCCTGTGTGAACTCTCCGCGCGCGCGGGGGGTCGTCGCATGCCTGGGGTTCTCGTCCTTGGAGACACAGGGCCGTTGCTCCGACTGCGTGTGTGCGTGTGCCTGCGGCCGTGAGCGCGACGCGGCGCTCGTGTGTTGGCCCACGCCGCCCCACGATGTAGCGTGGTGCCAACGGCGACGGCCAAGCTTGAGCGTGAGCACTGTATGTACGTACGGACTGACTTACTACGTACGTACTCAGTCCGCACCCCGCAGAAACAGAGACGTTGCCCAACGGGCCGATGGAAGGGTTCCGAGATGTGGCAGATGCGGGCTTGTCCTTTTCCATGGGCTGTGGCGTGGGCGTATCGACGAGGTCGCGCAACGGCTGTGGAGCAGACGAGTCCGAAACAGAGGGTCTTTTTTGCTCTTGGGGAATGGCGCGTGTGCTGATGGGCCCGGGAGGTTGACGGGCGGCGGACGGGACGTTATGACACCTGCCGTGGAGATGTGATTTGTCGTGTGGGTGCGTCAACAAGATGCGTGGAGCCCAGCCCAACGTCCGGAGAGAGCAGAGGTCAGGGCAAGGCAGGTACGGGCTACCTTGTCCTGGATACCGCTGGCCGTGCGCTCCATGGGTCCCCGATACCTGGGGCTGCTAAAGGCCTTCGGCCCGCTGGCGCTGGCAGCGCTGGCAGCAGGATGCCTGGCACTAACGCATTCACTGTTCGCAGCCCAAAGAGGGGGATAAACACCGCTGCTACAGTAGGTAGTAGATACCCCAACGGCAACGGGAACGGCAAGTGCAACGGTGAGGGGCGGTTGGTTCGAGGTTCCAAACCTCTTCGGAACCCTGCCGCCGTTTGGGGTGGGTTTTTGCACGGTTCGTGCCACCCGACCGTGGGAACCCTCCCGCCCACCAGGTCGCCCGGGGGTCGTTGATTAGTATTGATGGATGGGTGCCGTCTCGCCGTTTCGTGCGCGTCTCGTCGGAGGAGCGAGCCGCGTCGACACATCGCAACGCGTCGCCGGGACAGGCAGCCAACCGCCATTGCCGGTGCCCTGGCTTGGTCACCCATTAGTAGAACTGTCAGTCGGCGGAAGTTTCCTGGTTTCCAAGTTGCTCTTTGGCTGGAGACACGGGGCGCTGGCCGGCTGACCCTCAACGGCCTGCGGAAACGATGGCGTCCCCGCGAAAAGCAAACCCACATCTGCCAGCGCTCAGGCAGGGGGGAGGGCACCACGAAGAGCAGGGTGAGAGGTACTTCCCGGTACCCTGGGTGTCTAGCCGCCTTTCCAACCCAAGGTGGTGCCGAGAAGTTGTGGGTAGCTCCTGTCCTAGGTATCTTGCCATGCATGGCCCCCAATCGAGATTCATCTGGGACACGCTCATCATCCCCCGCGGGCCCTGGCAAGGGCTCAACGCTCCTGTCGGTCCCTGCAGGGTACCGGCGCCGTACCCCTACGCAGCCTTCGCCGCGCCAGACTACGCGCAGCATACCCTGCCGCGACCTGGCCCCCGTCGACAGCGGAAGCCAATGGAGGGGGCGTGTACTGGCGAGCCGCCAACCTTGGCACCAAGACAGGCAGGCAACACAACGTCGCGACTCAGACATTGTCATGGCCACACCCTTCTCTCCTGCCCGTCCCTTCATCCCATCTCATCATTCCAATTCCAAATCCATCCTCGTTGCCCAACCCCCGACCCGCCCTGACTCGACATCCCGCAACGGCCGCCGCCTTTCCGAATCAAGACGATGGTGGCCATCCATGCGCCGCTCTGTCACATCGCCTTTCGCCAGTGCCTTTGAGCCAGGTGCGGGAGGCTCTGCTTCTGCCTTGCTCGGCAGAGCAAGAGCGTCGTGAACATCGCCGTCACGGGTAAGATGATGGGAAATCGCTTCATCATAATCAGGTGCATTAAAGTGGCATTTCCAATTACCAGACAGTACCAAGTACAGTAAAGAAAGATCTAGCAAAATCGCTGTGCTGGAGCTGCTTGCTAAGGGGTATCGCGCTCCAGGAATAGCCCCAAACGCCGTTCGTGTCCGTCCGTGGTATCGCATCCGTCTCTTCCCCCTTTCTTGCTTTCGCTGCCCAGTACACCCAAAATCGCAAGAGCGAGAAGAACATACTTATACATATAGTACGTCGAGCCAGTGGCATCGCCATGCCGTGTTAGGCCGAGTCTCGGGCCAAAACCCCAGCTGTGTGTGAATTACCGTCTTGCGCCGACGGCCTAGTGATCCCTGTGAAGGCAACGTTTCATAGTTAATGCTCCCTTGAACCCGACAGCGAGAGCCCGAACGAGGCGGAGCTAACTGAGGACCTTGGACAGGTGCATCCGCGGGTCCTTGACGCTCTTCGACTCGTCGACCCGTTGCTGTTGCTGCTCCGGTCGCTGTGGCGCTTGCGGCACGGGACCCTCACGGGGAATCCGAGCATAAGATTGTGCACCGTGCTCCTGACCGTAAGCAGGCGAGCCAGGGGCCGTTGGCAGCTGCGCCTCATCAGGGCGACTTGGCGGAGACAGGCGACGGGAGGGCATGGCCGCGCCCGAGCGGGATGATGTGAACGTCAAGCAGTGGACGCCAGGAAGAGGGGTGCGCGGGACGTTGCGGACCCCGTCCTGATCCTCCGGGGGCCAGTCCTGGAGCGGCGGGAGGGCGACGCGCAGCCGAGAATGCTCTTGTGTGTTATAACGCTGCGACATGACATAGTTTGCGGCTCCGGCATCAGCCTCGAGCTCTGCCTCGTGGGGCGAAAGCATGGATGGGCGTCCACTGGGAAAGGCGGACCGAGGGCTGGCGTAGCCGTCGGCCACGAGAGAAGGCTGTCGTTGAGTAAAAGTCATGGACGGGCGCTCCATCATGGCCGTGGAAGCTGCTGGCCGTGGCGACGGAGCAAACGCGCTCCTTGGAATACTGTTGTCTGGGTAAAGGCCCCGAGGTGGCGGTAGGATGTAAGTATTGGACGGGCCGTGGGGAAGTTGCGGGGGCTGTAGTCGTTGCATGGCCGATGGTGGTGCCAGTTCCACTTCCGCTGCAGCGGAAGCAGTGCGTCCTGCCAGACGTTTCTTCTCGCGGTTGTGGCTCCCGTTATACCAGTTCTTGATGGCATTGTCGCTACGGCCAGGGAGTCGGCGAGAAAACTCGGCCCATTTCGTCCCTTCTTTCTCCACCCATTCTCGGATTAACTCGCCCTCTTTCGGTGTGATTGGAGCGTGATTGAGCTTGGGGTCGAGGTTTTGGGACCAGCGCTCGCGGCATTGTTTAGCGGTGCGTCTTCCCTGCATGTTGTTCGAGATCTCAACCCAGTTGTTAGGACCGCTGAGATCGATGAGACGGAGGAGCTCGTTGTCCTCAGCCGTGGTCCACGGGCCTCTTCGGTGGGTGCGATGAGCATCATGATGGTCGCGAGAACTCGAGGAACGACCAGCACCGCGATTACCGTGCCCGGCACCGGCACCGGCACCGTCTCCGTCCATTACACAAGTTTGTGCCAAGGCAGAATGAAGATGATGGACGGATAGAGCCCTCGGTGGGGGAGAGAAGTTGCAGGATGTTGCACGGAGAGAGCTGAAGGGAGAATAACGCAGCGGACCGGAGGGGGGGTTTCCAGGAAGAGGGGGAGGAGGGAGAACGGGTCGTTGAAATAGTCGAGCCCCGGGCGGGTTGGGAGGGTCGGCGGGTGCAGTCAGGCAGTACGTACCTTGCTTGGCTGGTCGACTGGCCTCACAAGACTGACTGCCAGCCATTTTCGTACTACTTCTACGGCCGATTCTACCAGTAACCCATAAACCTTGCTTGCCTACCTTGGGCTTAGCATGGTGGGCGAGGCAGGTGGAAACTCGTCTCGTCTGTCAAGTAACGTTTATGCCTACCTCGGGTCGTGCTGCGTTGCTTCGCTAACCCCGCCTCTTACCTCGAGCCTTGCGTAGAGGAGGCAGGCAAGCAGACAAGCGCAAAGCTAGGTGCCTTGAGTACCTGTCCAGCGGATCAGGTAGTAACCTCGCGCGCCGTAGTCGATGCGCTCACTCTGGCATGAAAAAGATTTTTCGGGTGCAAGATGCCCTGCCAGCCAAGGCACCTGCGGCACCAAGCAGCACGTCGTGTAAGAAATCGTGAGCCGGCAGCGTGACGCGAGTTGAGGTCTGAGTAGTGGTGACCGGCCTGGCCTAACTCGCCCAGGCCCAAGTCAAAATCGTTCCGTGGCGCGGGTGGGCTAAAGGCGCGCGAAAGTGACGAGGAAGACTCTGCGTCTGCGTCTGGCCAAGGCTGACTGTGACCAGTCGATATGGCGTCGCGCGCAGCTACTTGGGAGGCCTTCAATGGGCTCCACTTGGGCCCATCATGCAGACGCGTTGGCGGTTCGCCATGCGAGGGCGGAAGTTAAAGTACAGCGAGAAAGGCCTGGCGGATCAAGGACAGATGAACTGAGATCTGCGGCCGGGATGAGCGGCGGCCCTTTCTCTGGGAGAAGCCCCCGAGGAGGGAGG